GTAGTAGTGTGTGTGTGTGTGTGTGTGTGTGTGTGTGTGTGTGTGTGTGTGTGTGTGTGTGTGTGTGTGTGTGTGTGTGTGTGTGGGTGGGTGGGTGGGTGGGTGTGTACGCGCGCGTGCATGCCTACATATAATTCTTTTACATAGGATAATCCTAATTTCTCAACTTTCATAACTTTCGGTAAGTGATTTCTACGCTTTGTGCGTCATGACTTCCTCAATGACCTCGAAGACTTCCTCTTTGGCGCGCAAGAGGAATAATTGAGATAGTGCCTCTTGTGCAACAAATTGGCGAAGATTGCCATTTTCTTGCGCACAAGACACATTACGATGGCGTTATGTAGGGAAGAAGGAGTTCGAAAATAACAGTAGGAAAATGAAATTATTACTGTCGATCGTACAGAGGCGCAAGAAAAAGGAGCGGTAAATGCTCGACGAATTTTTATGCATTACGCGCAGAAAGCAATGCGGAACCTTTTTACTTTTCCTATAATTCTTCGTTAAGTCTCGGACATTACGGTAGAATTGTTTAAAGTCTTACAGATAGTAATGTAAATAATATCAAACAGTGCACATTACATATTGCCATATCGATGTATTTGCGTATTCGGAATGATTCATTGGCATAATTAGAAAGGGAGTAGTACAATTATGTATTCATACAAATAATGTTACTACTGCTATATATTATATCTTTCTCTTTTTCTCTGTTTCAGGTAAGTTTCCATTTCTCGTCGTATAAATTAAATCGCATGGTGAGTACTGATTTTATCTGATAGAATTCTATATACAGTACGTTTTATATTGATTGATTCAATGATATTAACTTTGGATGAATTAAAAATAATATATGTTAAATGTGTGTAAAAATAATATATGTTAAAATATTTTACAGAAGGCGTTGCAAAATATAAAATTAACAAATGTTAATCGGTGAAAGTTTCCAATATTCGTCAATTTCGAAATTGTATTAGAGAGGCGAAAATTTATGAATTACGCAACAGCTTTCGGTGGGTAATTCGTCCCAAATACTTTGGGTGAAACTGTAGAACAAACGTTCCTCGTCTTATTGCAGATCTTGTAGTCAGTTTAATGATTTTTCGCGTTTGCGCAGTAATTGCTTCCGACATGTGAATAAACGACATATAAATTACCTTTTGTCATGGTAGATGCGCGGAAAACATATTTGCTGATTATTTTTTAATCGAAATGCATAATACTAAATGGAAAACTTTAATTGTACTCGTGCAATGCAGCACACAAAAAAAGTAAATTGTTGTGGCGAAATACACAGAATGCTTAAGAAGTGGTGAACACAAGTGGCGGGAAAGTGGCTTCCCATGAAAAAGAAAAAGAAAAAAGAAAAAGAGGGAAAAAAATAGAAATTAAAAATTAAGAATTTAAAATATATATCATATATTATATTTTTCGGTTGCGTAATGTTTTCGATAAAAAAGAGTTTAGAAATGAAAGTAACATGAGATAACATCTATTGACTGCATAACGAACTTGTACACTTGTGTACCGATTAAAATGCACTTCTTTGTTATAATTAGCTATACTTGAAACATTATTGTCACGAGCTTTTGATATCAGAGTACCCTACATCAGTACATTCATGATTGCTATATATTATTTCCAAAAATCAGTAAAACACTAATGATATCGATATTTAATGTTATAATATCGGTATTGCAATTATAATGGATATATAATAACGTTTAAAAATAAATTTTAAGATTGCGTATAGTAAATTTTATCGATTAACAAGTGTGCACAAGTGTGAATACGTAATCAAGTAGAGACCCACTAATTTCATATTCAAATCATTTATATCATACTTTTATATTATTGTAGCACTAAATTATGGAATCAATTTTTTCTTGGCGTGTTTGCAGCGCGACGAAAAAGTTTATACCAATCGCACATAACGTTACATTTTTTAAATCAGGGATTACAACTGATATAATTCCACACTGAGTTTAATTATTTATTTATAACTTACCGAGGACATCACAGAGAAATAATATAGCAATTTTGCAATTTTTTTATTACCCATTGCATACTTTTACAGTCAACTGTATTTACGCTTTCAGTCTTGTAAGTACCATTAACAAGTATATTGTTTACATTATGTGTAAAAAATTACTATGAAAATGAAAAGTATAATACTATGGACAATAAGGGTATTGCAAAAATATAATTTTAACATCACACGCGCGTTACATACACGCAACACTATCTTCAGCAGAACGTTTGTATTTTTATCATTCTCTTGATGTGTCAATCTTTGACAGTAGTTTTTTATTTCGATCAGCATCTCGCTGTTACTTTGTCACTGCCCGATAATTAAACATAGTTGTCGAATAATCGTTCTAAGAATTTTCTACTTAAAAAGAAAAGATCGAGAAAGATAGAACCGCGTTGACAACAACTTAAATTGCGCCGATTTTTGCACAAATCCCGTACGATAACGGTCACAATTGCGAAAAGAATTTTGCGAGCGAGTACAAAGTGCGTACCATTATTGTCAAAGTACTGTCGAAAGAATTATCCACACACTGGAAACACGCCGAGTAACGAGACGATGGTCGAGTAACCGCGATGAAGCCGGTAATGACAGTCGGAAGAGCGGTACAGTACTGCACCGATATACCATCCATTTCACTCTCACCGTCTTATCGTTCCCACTCGTACTTAGTCTTCTTCTTGTTCTTTCCAAAGACTCCCAGCCGCACACTTTGGCAGTGAAAGTATTCTCTTCCTGTATGGTTATATATACCTAGCTGCCTATTTACCTTGCCAGCTGAAATGTGGTAACCAAATGGTACGAATGTGGCACGAATATCACTGTTTCTTGTGCGAAAAGAGATGCCACGGTCTTATTAAGAACCAAGATGGCTAAATCTTATGCGATTGTAAAAAATGGTAATCCATAATGCAATGTAGAGTTTCTGTTCTCAATGTCAATTTGTGTGTTTTGTCACACAAGAAGATAAGAGGTACATGAAAGCATGCTACGCTGAAGAAAGTGATATTACTGCAATCCATTGTGGGACAACCTGGTCGCTACGTGAACGTTAACAGGAATCGCACTCGTTATATATATTGTATCACGATATATGAATTTTGTACACGTCAGCCGAGATACGAAGAAAGTTTCTTACAAAATAAATCATTTTATTTGACAAAGACATTGTATCACATTTGAAAAGATTTTTCAATCATTCAAGAGTTTTGTTAAGTTTAATGTGCATTTTATTACTTGGTATATGCAAAAATATATATGTTGCTACATTATCAAGTTAGAATGAATTTATGGGCATGAATGTGCATTGTGCTTTATCACATTAATTAAATCTAATTCATTAATTCTATAATTAAATTGAAAAATAAATAAATTTCAATAATCTCAAGTAATAAATCTTGATATTTTGCACAAATATTTAAGCGATTATACATTTTTTTTACACACAATGTAAAACGTTTCCCCCCGTTTATTTGAGATAAATGTGTATAATATTTTACAAGAATAATTAACAAATCTATATAATTTAGTTATATAAATTTGGTATATTAATAAAAACAATAAAATTGTGCAGTGCCAAAAAACGATGATGCATTCACACATGTCACTATGTACTCGTTTAAAATTAGTTGCATTGTAACTTGAAGCATTATTCTGACGTATTTCTTAATCGGAGTTATTATATCGAATATCATCATTCTGATGATTACCGATCATATGACAAGACAAGGTTATCGTTATAAAATTTGATTATCCATCGTACGAACAATAAGGAAGATGATCAGCGACTCTAATGAATACTTCCACTCTTTCTTTTCATTTGAATGGAAGATTTAATTTTACAAAAAATAGTTGTTATATTCTCTTATTATTTTTTCAAATATATACGTGTAGTTAGTTTCAAATTTTATCTTTATACTTTAATAAATATGAAGAGAAATTAATTTTCTTACACAAAATAAGCCATCACACTCAACAAGCAGATTTTATCGCATTTAAAATAATTTTATTTCTAATTTTTTATAAAATATGTATATAACATGCATAAAATTTGTGTATATATCACGACACATAAAACTATACGAAAAAGTTTATGACAGATAATTTTCAACTTTTCAATTATGTGAGATGTTGATACATACTCTTTACTTAAGTAATTGTTACCCAATTTTGTCTCAATTTTAATATTTTTTGTTGGTAGTACATGTTGCAAAATTAAGTGCAACTGTATTTGATTTTTTTTATTTGTTCAGTTGCAGATTAATTATATCGTTTGTATGGTAATTCAAGTGCCATATTACAGCCATACAATATGCGATTATGTTGAAACTTACTTACATTTTCACGGAAATGCATCATCAATTCGTCGAACAGCGATTAACTTGTGCTCTTTCCTCACATGACTTAATATAACGTAAAAAATATGTAATTAATTTCATATCATGTCTTCTATTGCAATAATAAATTTGTTTCTTGCGCTTTTTGACACTTTTCATGAATAAGGTGAAATGGGTGAATAAGAATGTAAGCGCGATCATGTATTGCTGAAATGAGCTTTTTTTGTATCAATTGAATAGTATAGATGCTAATAAGGAAATTACGACACAAAAGCTACAACTATTCTATAACACATTTTAAATTCGATAAAATTGTACACCAAAAGGATAAGTTAAATCAAAATACAATCACATAATGTCGCGCTCGTTAAATAAATAAATAAAATTATAACACAATCTCTGTCATTTTTTAAAATTTGTCTTTAATGATACGAATCTACAGTTTGTTTGCAGATTGCACATACGAAAATATTTGTGAAATTTACCGAAATTTTATATAATATATAAATAGGAACACTCTTTCTTTTCTTGGCGGTTTTTTTTGTCTATTACACTTTTTGACCAACCTTTAGGCCAACTATTTTGACACAAATTTAATAGACAGAAAGGAGTCTTGTATTTTTATATTAAATACGACGGCAGTCGGTTCGCTTTCACCATTGTCCATCTCTTTTCGCGGGATATATTGAGGAATCTGATCGGATAATACAGATCAAACCACGATACCGATTTAGCGCGTAACAAAAGTATTGTATTGTATATTTCTTTCCGCATCAAGAGAGCGGTACGTTCAACGAAATTATATTTACGGGCAATCGAAAAAACGGGAATAAAATCGGTATTAGTTTGCAATGGTATATCTCTGTGTACTGCAATTTACTATATTTATCGCGCTTGGTACATTAAAATAAGACAAGGATAAGGCGAGGAAGCGGAAATGGAGAGTAAGAACACGCGTAAGAATTATATGCATTCCATCACGCGCGACTTTTGGCACGAGATGCCGTGTTATATAAAATTACGCTCGTCCGCTTGAGATTCGAAAGTCGTTACGATCTCTTGCGTTCGAGATCTGGAGTTGTTTTTTTTTTTCACGCTTGCTCTTACAATTGAGGAAAATGACTGTAAGATACTTTGAATAAGATGTACGCTTGATTTGGTCAAGAGAGTTTAATTCATACATTGAACATTTACATTGAATTCTTATTGACGCAACATATTGACAACATATAAATTATTATGAGAAAGTTATATAAACTTTAACGTCATATAAACAAAATCAAAACATTAATTATTATAAAATCTAGGGAATATATATATATATAATTAGTCAACATATTTAATCAAATAAGTTAATTATATTTTTTGTATTATTACAAAGAATGGCACTGCCACTCTAATGTTTCATTCAAGTTTTTAGTACAATGACTTTGATACACTCGATACATCTCATATATTTGTGTATACAGAATACAAATATTCTTTACTCTCCTTCACTAGAGAGAGAGAGAGAGAGAGAAAGAAAGAGAGAGAGAGAGAGAGAGAGAGAGAGAGAGTTAAGCACTTAATAATGTTAATTAATGTTAATATGTATTGCCTCTTACTTTTGAAACATTATTATTTTACATCGATGTCTTGAATCTCTGTCAAATTTGCGTAGAAATAAAAAGAAGGAAGAAAGAAAAAGAAGAAATTTATTGAAACGATAAAAGAAACAATAAACAACTAAAAATGAACTTGGAATGTTTTGAAAGAAGAGAAAGTAGAAGATTTAGTAACATTTCACGTGTACGATAATTGAAACTTTTGATTATATCAGAAACAAATCAATAACACATTCCTACAAAAAACGGGCATTTATCACCGTCACCTCGCGACACTCGGCCTTTTTTTCATCCGCCAATCTTCCTTGATAATATCACTTGCTTTTTCGCCGATCATAATGGTCGGCGCGTTTGTATTTCCGCTGACGATTGTCGGCATTATAGAAGCGTCGATGACTCTGAGTCCCTTCACTCCGTGAACTCTCAGTCGTGAATCCACGACAGCCGTGGAATCGCTCCGCGGCCCCATCTTGCAGGTGCCCGTTGGATGGTAGATGGTGAAGGTGAAATGTCGCAAGGCGCACTCCCAGTATTCGTACGTGTCGAATTGATATGTGTGGCATCCGGGCATACGAATTGTATGAGGCTTTGAACCGAATCGTTCGAACGCGCTGGTATTGGATACCCGCATCGCCAACCTTATTCCCTCCACAAGGACATCTATGTCTTCCTTATGCGCAAAGTAATTGGGATGAATTTCCGGATGAACAAGAGGGTTTTTACTCTTCAATCTAATCCATCCTGTACTTTTCGGCCGCAGCAGAAGCGGCAGAATAGACCAGGTTTCCATGCCATGCAAAGGCTTGTACATAGTGTTGTACACTCGGTCTGTCAGACCGAGGATTTTTTTTATTTGATCCCCATCTGAGTTGATAGAGCTAGGTGCAAAGTGAAACTGCACGTCCGGATAATCACCAGACTTGTCAGCGTACTTGGTGTTAAGGAAGGCCAGTCCCTCAATTCCCGGAGTGGTCATAGGTCCTTGCTCCTTTATGACATACTCGAGCATCACCGATAACGTCTGAAATCGATTCCTCAGCAGAGTGATTGGTTCGTTCAACAGAAAAGTCAGACCGCCAAGGCCCACGTGATCCTGAAGATTACTTCCGACCCCTCGTAAATCAGATATCACTGGTATGCCAAACTCGGTTAAGTGCTCACTAGGACCAATGCCGGACAACATAAGCAATTGAGGCGAATTAATCGCTCCGGCAGACAAGATGATCTCTCTTTTACATCTCACGATCTGTTGCCTGCCGTTGCGAAGGAACTCTACTCCCGTTGCTCTCTTCTCGGCATTAAAGAGCACTCTCAGGGCTTGAGCATTCATTGCTATGTGCAAATTTGGTCTATTTTTTACTGGTCGTAAAAAAGCTTTCGCCGTCGAGCATCGACTGCCACGTCGAATTGTTGCTTGCGTTAACATAAAGCCGGTTTGATTAAAACCATTTAGGTCGTGATTCTCGTAGCCCATTTCTTGGCCAGCTTGCAAAAAAGCGATCGCTAGAGGGGTTTTGTATGGCGGCTCTTGCACTGTTAAATATCCCCCGGTCTTGTGATAAGATGTTCTCGTTAAATACGGATTACGATTATCTTCAGACTTGAGAAAATAAGGGAGCACCTCTTCGTAACTCCAGCCAGTGTTACCTAATCGAACCCAGTTGTCGTAATCGTGTCTAAAAAAAGAAAGAAAAAAACCACACTAAATTATCCAGATTTGATCAAATATGAACTTGCTCAATTCGATGAGATATTATGATTTGAACGATGAAAATCAGGTATATACTTGCCGATTACCACGGATGTAAATCATGGCGTTGAGAACGGTGCTTCCTCCTAGAACTTTGCCGCGTGGCCAATTACATCTGTCGCCTTTCATAGCTAGACAATAAGCGGATGTAGTAGGTGGTGAGGACTGATACTTCCAGTCGAATTCTGTAAGCTGAGTATACCCGGCAAGCAGAGGAATGTCTGAAATTTCATTTTCGTCACCACCAGCTTCTAAGAGTAGCACCGTCCAGTTAGCTATCTCCGACAATCTCGAAGCGACCACAGCACCTGCGCTTCCAGATCCGACCACAATAAAGTCATACATTCGCAGCATCTGCAATCGCATCAATTTATTATCTTATTGATAGGCCAAAGTATTGTTTTAATTGTTATATCGTATATGTGTAAAAATAATGTATCGTTAATGTGGCAGTGTTACATAGTAGATGTAAGATTTTTTTATGTCGATGACTATATTCGAAAACTGACCAAAGAATTACAGTGAGCATTTGAAACTAGCTTTTGCGCTCTCTGTCGATCTAGTGATTCTACTTGTAGTAAATGACGAATACTATTTTTTATCAGCTATAAGGAAAGCTGTCTAAATTCTGCAAACATACATACCTCTCGTGCATTTTGCGGATGTGATTCTGGATCGAGGTTGTTATATTTGTACACGGTGAGACCGATCGCCAAAAGTGGAATCAAACCAAGTCCAAGAATGGAAGTTGTACCAATCAAGCTACTTAATATTACTGCCATTTCCACTTATTTGCGCCACTAAATATCAGTATCTAAATGCATGTCATCTGAGAAAATTCTTTTCTCAATCATCAAAAAGTCCTGGAAGCAAATCTCTAATTAATTTAACTAATGAAAGTAAAATATACTTTAGTGTCGATAAAGATATAGCCACTATTAGCTTCAATTGGTATAAATGCATAATTTCAGATACGATATAATCATTAATCATACAACATTTGAAATATTAGGAATTATCACTGATTTGTAAAAGAAGTAAAAAAATGTGTCAACGCGTCTACAATATTGTTGTTTCCTAATCGTATTCTCACCTCATTCTTTTCTCTGATAATCCAACGTAATCCAACGAAAATTGAATTACAATTTTATATGACATCTTGACATCATTCTGATTAGCCAGTGTGTGCCCTGTTTGAAAATGCGGATATCATTGTCGCAATAATATTTTTGTGATAATTATCCTGCTTGTTAACAGCATGCCTATATTAATACGTCAGTCGTGTGTATCTGCACAGATTTTCTAACGTTGCCTTATTATTAGTTTTCCGATGTGATCTTTATTTCACTGCACTTTCCCACACTAGCATCACTAGCATATACTTTTTTAATATTTACAATCACATTACAATCATTTCTATTGCATTTTGCATTGTGACACGCATGATGTTGCTACACCAACTTATTCGATAAGCTTCGATTTGATCAGAAACTGAACTATGAAGATATAATAGTAAACCGGCAAAATGGCAGTGAAATGAGACTAGCGCCGGTAAGAAGCAGACTGCGATCTACTGGTGAATGTTCAGAGTGAAAACTAGTTGGGGAACTTGAGTAGTATAGCCTTTCAATATATATATATGCGCAGCTTGACCCCGTAAAACTCTTGTTGTGAAACGTTGTTTCAAATTTTTTTTCGAGAAGATTATATATATATAAATTATTCTTTAGGAGATATTATATAATATCTCTCTTCAGCATTATTATTCATACTATTTTTAGGAATTTTTTCACAGATTTTTGTTTACACGTATTTATTTTAATAGGGATAATAACAGAGAAAATGTTTTTACAATTCAAGAATGCCGTGATGATGTGATAATAGATCTGTACTTTCTTTAGTTGCATTTCCTATGATTAAAATGAAACAAATGTATTTACGCTTTATTGCGAGAAAAAGAGAAAACAAATATGAAATGCGCGGGTTAATACGACGTACACTCATTTATTTGATAAAATATAAAATAAAGTATAAGCAGGTATGGAGTAAATAGATAAAATAGAAAATGAAATAAACAAGTATGGAAGTAAACAGATAAAATATGAAATAAGATAAGCAAGTAACACACATTTTCTAAATAAAAATTTTTGCTACAGTTACGCATTAAAATAATTATATTAAATAAACGACATTTTTGTCGAGAGTGAAATAAAGTACGAATAAAATGTTTATCGATACGCGATTTCGCAATGAACGTTATCAAATAAGGAATACAGCCTACGTGATCGCGCGATGCACAGCGTATCGTTTTCTTTCGCGCGAATGCATGAATCGAGACTTTCTTCTCTTTCGTGCGTGGTAACACGTCGGCGTCTTTCTCTTTGCTTTCGTGGCTGACACACAGATAGAGCCGAGTTTATTTGCGCGCACTTTCTCTCTTTTCGACGATGCCTACGTGTCTTTCAGCAGGTGACTTCATATTGAATTCTCCATACGTTTACAGTGGAGTGCCTCCTGCTGCGCTTCGATTGCCTCATTAACCTTGTCCTTGGTTACAAGAACGTTTGTCAACTTAATTTATTTTTATTGGTAACTTATGTTTATGGCATTTTTTTATAAATTTTTATATACATGATATATATGTATGATATATATAAAAATTTATAAAAAAATGCCATGAGCATAAGTTACCAATAAAAATAAATTAAGTTGACAAACATTCTTGTAAAGACAAGATTAATGAAGCAATCGAAGAAATATATATATATAAAACACTAGTTTACAAAAAAAATTTGTTTTAATTATTTGGAATTAGACAAGTGTTTCTTATAGATTTTTGGATGTTGAAAACGATGCCGCAAACCAAATTTCACCGTCAAGCAAACCAAAAACACGTCAAGTTTCCAAAATAATTGAGGTTTATTATAATATGTAAAAAATGGGTTTCTTGCGATATTTGATATTTTTTTGTAAGAAAGGTTAATGTTATCTTGAAATTC